CTCCAAAAAGGCTCCCTCCTCCAAAACACAAAAATAAAGAATAAAACACTTGTTCCCCCTCTCAGCAGGAAGTAGGCAAGAGAAGTATGCTGAAATATTGTCCTATACCCCTGCAAGTCTAGGAATTAGAGAGCTCAGACAGAGCCACCACATGTGCAAATAAGCCTACTCTTCAATCTGGAGAAATGTACCTTTCATTTCACTTAGGTGATACAGCACATATCAGCAGGCCATAGGGAATCTCTGGAGGATGTGCAAGCAGGTTACAGAGGACACATAAGCCCACTATTTGTCTGACCTAATCCTTCCACAGGCTGCAAAAAAGCAGTATAAATCAAACCACTTAGCCAGAAGAAGACACTTTCATTTTTCTGGTCACACAGAAAGGTCCCTGGCAGGTTTAGCAATAAACCTGCTTGGACTATGGAGTTTGGATTCCCTTCCCTCTTTTCCACTGAGCTGCTACTGTCTGAAGCCATTTTTTACTCTGCCACACCGAGGTATAATCTGTTCATACTGCAGTGTGTTTTCAATCCTTTAGTTTATCTTCTGACGTTACACAGCTTCCATAATTGTATAGCAATGCTTTAAATTTCTAGGCTCCCATACTTTCTCAGTATTACATCACACGTAGCCTGGGGGCCCCAGTGCGTCCCTGTATGAAGCATGGACATAAATTCTCTTACCACGGACTTACTTATCATCTCCCTCCCATTAGGTAATATCCACCTTTGCTGTTCAGTTTGAGTGGCCCCAAGTTCAATTCCTTCTCTTCCACTTTAGTGAAGTAGGGCCTTAATACCTAGATATATCTGGTATTAGAATGAGTACTTTCACTTTCTCTTCTCGGGAGGCTCCTTTATTGGCCTCATCTGTGTATCCTATGGATTCTATGCTCTTCCCTTTCTGATGGACATTATGTGAATTGCTGCCACCTCCTTTGGAAGGAAGAGATTCTGTAATACTTGCCTAACTTTTTCACCACATATTAATTCCCTTGCTTTGCAGTTAATGAGGTCTTGCTCTGTCCTGAGTTTTCTAAAACTGTGTTGGACTTCATAACTATATTTAGAATCAATATGCTTCCTTGGCCTTCAAGGAACTTTACATCCTGATTGACAGCAAACCACTCACAAATCTGAGCTGACAAACCATTGGGCAATTTACTTCCCTCATATAATGATTTTATTTGCCCATGAATTAAGGCAAAACCAAAATATATCTATAACAATGGATATTTAATATATATGTTCATAAAATGAGATAATGTTTGTTTATTCCATGATTAATTACTGAAAACACTATATAAGAAATTTTTCAAAATTTCTTTCAGTTATTAAAGTTCAGCAATCTAGATCTAAATTGTTACTTTGATCAATAGCACCTCCATATCTTGAGAAAACCTCAATGTTTTACATATAGAGAACATAACCTTTTGAGTATAGACAAAGTAAATGCATCACAATAATATACTTACTAGTACTGGTTGAATGTTGAACCAGCACACTCAGTTATCTCAATACTCATTTCAGATAACACATGACAAAGAATGAGAACTGTGAACATTTTTGGCTGAGAAAATAATTCAAGTTTTATTTTGGAGAGAATAGAAAATAAAAAGCAATAAAAACATGACAGAATTTCAAAACAAGATGATAGTAAATTAACATTGGTTGTTAGGTTGCATATTGTTATCTTCAAAGTAGTTGTGCAGATTACCACATATAGGCATGTAAAGTTGATCAAACAATTAAGCAGTCATTCTGCCTTTCAATAAACCAAATAGAAATTGCTGCTACATGTATCTTAGTTATCTTGCATGGGTATATATATTTTTTCTCCTTTTTTCTCTTTTCCTTTCCTCCATCCCAGTGTTCTTTGCTTTTAAACAGTTTGTTTCTCTTCTACAATATCTATTATACCTTTTGGATTTTATTTATTCTCTCAGTTTCTTACATGAGAGAGACAATATGATGTTCATACATGTGTCAGTATTATCCTCAGATTATTGTACAGAGAACAATAAACAATGTATTTACACAATCAATTTTGATAGCATTTTGATTGACTAACATCCTGAAAGGGAATATGTCACCAACTTTAAAGATATCCTTTCTTCTGCCAATTGATGTAAATCTGCCCACTGCTAAGCTATGCAAACCAAAAACATTTGACGTACTACAGGTGCCTATTCAGGTAGAAGCCAAACTAATGTGGACATGTAGTTGAACATAAGCATATGGAAACATACATATTATAATAGCTGAAATTCTTGAACAAAGCAACTTTAGGTACCTTAATTAGTATAAATGGACAAACACTGAAACACAAAACAATGCCTTTAAATCAGAGTGCACTATTAGAAGTGAAATAACTGTCATGGTCCAATATTGACTTAACCTTCATATTGCACAGTGCTATCAATGAACTACAACTTTTGTTACAAATTTTATTCTGCTCAAACCTTTGTTCCACATACAAGAACTTCCTAGTTTGGCCATTAGCTTTCCTTTTTCTCCTCCTCTAGGAGAAGAAGTTGCCATACAAAATTCTCTCACACCAAATATTTGTCTTCATACTTACAATGATCTTCATATTTTCTTCTCTATTCTACTTACGGGTTCCACTTTATTACCACTTGGCTTGTTTCTAATGGTCCCTATTACCTATTTCCTCATGATCTCAGAATTTGTATATGGTTACCTGTTAATTCTGACTGACTTCCAACAGCCATCCATTCAGCATGGGACAAGCCTTTGATCTCAGTCCATGCCAGAAGGAACAGGAATGAAGTGAACTTAATAACTGCAGCTAAACAATTATCTCAATGCTCAAGAATTATTTTAAGCACACCAATTCCAACAACTAAAAGTTGAAGTTGAAAGTAAATTAGTTACTTCACCTTAGATTTGCAGCAAAGTACTTCTGTTGATTACTTTGTGAGGATGACTAATGTAATTTTATTTCCACCACTTTTATAGTGGAATTCATGATGTGCATTATTTTCTGTTTGTTAATTAAAATCATTCTTTAAATTTCTCTTCATCCTTGGTACAAAAGATACCTACCATCCCTCCAGACTACCCAACCCTCTGACATTTGGCCTTGTGGACTCTCTGGAACAAGGTCAAAGAAAAATTATTTCTAACTCTTTGTTTACCTAGGCCTAAAATTTTATTCCAAATCATAGCCTTGTCTCTGTTATCAAATTTTGCTTAACACTCATGTCTTGGTTACTTTCCTCTTGTTGCCGAGATAAAATACCCAATGCCCAAAATGAAGGAAGGAAGGGTTCGTTTAGCTTACAGTTTGTGGAGGTTTCAGTCCACACTTGGGTGGCTCCAAGGCAGAAGATAGCAAAGCAACAAGAACAAGGGGGAATGGCAGTGGAACAGCAATGCAGCCAGAGCAAACGGGAGGAATGGCGGCAAGCAGCTTCCTTCCCTGCATTCCATTGTGAACAGGCTACCCCCACCTAAGAGGCATGTAGCTCTCACATAATTTCCATGCCCTCCTCTTCCACAGGCTCAGGATGTATACAAAGTAGCACCCTGGCTTCCTGCTGAGTCACTTAGCCAAACCGCTAGACTTCCCAAGTTGACACAATGTATCAACCATAACAACTCAATAAGAAAAGTTTCCTCCATGCTATGAATATAACTTCCATGTACACTCACTGCACTATGGAGGTTTATTGCACACCGTGAATTGCCCCTCTGAGCCCTTTACAGCCCTGCTACTGACGGTCAGATTCTAAACATTTCTTTTTCAGTAAAACAAAACCACAGGTCACTTTGCACTTATTTCTTGTCCAGCAAATGTCTTTATGACACATTCTACCACTGAAAATGACCCCAACCAACAAAGCAATACATAGAATAAAATTTTCCCACTTCATCTCATGCACAGAGGTTGCCTAATTGCCACACTGCTTCTATCTTCTCCAGAGTAGCTGTCTTCAGAAAATAGTCTCATGTTTTGAAAGCTTCTGCATGGTGATTCAATAACTAGAAATTTCACGCCAGGCACACATGGGTGAGGACTCACCCTTCCATAATGACCTCGGCCATGTAGGCACATAATAAATCAGGAAGCCCCCAAATGTTAGAAATGCAGTCACATAGGCTAGGGATATACACCAATGGTACAGTGCCTGCCTGCAAACACAAGGTCATGATTTTGATTCCCAGTACAAAAACAACAACAACAAATACTGAAAATAAATGCAATAAGATTTCAAGACACTGAAGTATGGCCTTCATAGTTGGAAAGAACCATGAAAGCAAAACTTTAATGATGTCAGCCTTAGCAGTTCAGAGAATCTGATAACACGTGAGACAGTCACACCAAGCACTTTACACCTTAGCATTCTACACCCTAGTCACATCCCTCTATACTTCACTGAATTCTAGAGAAGGCTAGGTTTTCATAACTTCTCCATAACTTACTCCCCTTGTCCTCCTCCTAACTGCAGTGTGGATGTATTTATACAACTGTCTCTTCTTTACCCTGGAACTTTAGGAGAGGCAGTGATTCTGAGAAGCATAACCACTTCTGGGTAGTCATTTCATCTGGCTTTGAAATTACAGTACTACATTTTCACTTACCTTTCACATGAAGAAAATAGTTTTCTGTTCCAATTATGTACTCACACCTACATTCTTACAGGCTTTCTCTCTGTGTTTATCCTTTGATCTTTCCCTAGATATGCCATCCTCCCAGGGAACCTTCAAATGCATGGACTTTGGCAAGCACTGAGAAAAGTCTCAGTAATATTCCACGCAGAGTTTAATAATTTCATTTTGACAATGTACCACTTTCAGGGGTTTTCCTACAACCACACCATCTGCAAAGAAAGCATACATATCCCTAGCACAAATTACTAAACACAAAAAGGACTAGTGAATACTAGGAAGAAGAGCTTAAGCAAATTGAATGTTTGGACTGAAATTTTCAGCTGAACAACTCAATGCCCCTGTGATCTTTTGTCCATACTGAGCCGCGTGATGGGGTCCCATCATTTCCAATCTTACTAAATAACTTGCACACTAGGATCCCTCTCCCACCAGGATATGCACTGAAGAGGAAAAGTAGAGAGGGTGGAAGGAATACACAAGCTTGAAGTTGCCAGTGACCAAAAGATGGCACGTTGTAAGAAGGAAGAGAAGAACATAGTGGCCAAGCAGTGAATTCAGGATGATGGACAGAGGGTACACTATAGATCCCAGCTGTCCATTCTGGCAGTTTGACGTGTTTTCCTTCAAACTGGTTACCAGGTCAGAATGTCTGATGACCTCAGAGGCTTCCGAGCTCCCTGATTGGATCCTTCAAATGCCCTGTGGGGGTTGGATGCCCAGTGTTCAACAGCTGCTTCTCAGACCTCTTCTCCACTGGTGGTCTGTGCCCTCACTCTAGAAGAGCCAGTGGCTTCAGTTTGACCAAATTACTGAAGCACACTGAGGACAGACAGGAGTCTGTTTTGTGGAGGTGTTAAGGGGGGTTGGGAGAAGTCATGGCCACTGGCGAACCATCTTTCCAGTTTGAGGACCAGAGTCCACAGCCCATCTGTCCAGAGTATGCCTTGGAAGTAGTGGTAGATGATGATGAGATCCCAGGACAATCAGGTGAGGTGGCTGGAGACAAAAGAGGTCTGAGAGTGTCACCCATAGGGAGGAAGGACTACAGAAGTTGTTAGCCCGGATTATGCAAGAAGGTAAAGATTGGAGCCTGAAAAGCCAGGAGATGAGAAAGCAAGGGAACAGAACAGAAAACCTGGTGAACAGGACAAGTGTTAGGTGGTGAGATCCAACAATGAAAAGGGGAAGATGTGACTGACGCCGAGTTATTTACAAAGAAGATTGAAAAAAAACGTACCTAAAACATTTTCTAGGCACAGTGAGAGGGGATAGCAGCAAAGGAAACTGGGTTAAAACAGAGATCAGCTAAGGAACTAGGACTTGGATGGTGAAAATAGAGGCAGAAACTCGGAAGGTTTTAATGAGTCAAAGGTTGAATTCCAAAGACAAAAGCTCCACATTGGACCTGTGTTTCTTTCCTCAGGCCTATGGGAAGCATCCAGCCTTGCACCTCAGGCCTGTGTTCAGAAGAGGAAGACAGACTGGTTCGCAGAGCCTGAGGAGGAGCTGCATGAGCACCTGCTGGTTTTTGTTGATGGAGTCCCTAGATTAGCATCCTACCTCCTGTCTCAGTCCCCTCCCCCAAAGAAGCAGAAAGGCTACATTTCAGAGTCAGAATTAGTGGCAGAGCAAGAGAAGGATCATCAAGGGGGCCCTGATTCAGTTCTTAGTGGGAACACAAACCTCCCCGCTCAATTCTCTGGCCACAATTGGAAGAGAAAGGGGTCATCAATATCAAAGGAGGATGAGGAGGGGGTAGGGCCCTGGGACACTCACATAGCAGCCAGGGAAAATATGAGGCTGCCACCTCGCAAGAGGTGGAGACAGTACCTGTCCCTGCTGTGTGAGGAGTCACAGGAAACTTGGGGATGTTTCAGCCTGTGCCCTGTGCCGTCTACACACACAGGTGTTGTAGAGAAGCCTTGTGGCCTCAAGAAGAAGAGGAAGAGGAAACACCTGTCCTCAGTGCTGCCGGAGCACCATGCAGCCTTCACCAGGCTGCTGGGTAAGGAGACCCCCCACCACACCTCAAACCTGGGTGCTTAGGAAGAGAGGAGACTACCAGTCACCTCCCTCACCAGTATAAGTGAGGTCTATGTACCCCTCAAGCGGTTCATTTCTGCGGGGTTCTATTGCCATCCTGCCCCAAATATATAGATGACAATGATCACCCACTCCTCAGAACTTCTTCTCCTGGCTTGGGAGCATAAAGCTTGCTTCCAAATGGATTTTTTGACCAAGAGGATTTGCTGACCTTCAGGAATGGAAATGGCTATAGCATTCAAAGTCTGACACTGCCATGCTCACACCCAGATGTGTCCATCAGAAGGGATAATGTCCTGGAATACTTCTGACTTCTGAAGGGGGTGCATTCATGTGCCATGAGAGGACACCACACTCAGCTCTAGAGGCCTAAAGTGGAAGTCAATTGTTGTTACCCAGGCCCTCACACAGTTGCTCTTCTGAGTATACAGGAATTAGACCCTGGTCTCTGCCTAGTAAATGTGTTCCTCTCTCTATTTCTCATCCACCTGACCCTGGTCCCATTGAGCTCCATCTCCCTGGAAGATGGGGCCACATTTCCCATTTTCTCTCTCACAGTAAAAACTCTCACAAGTCCCAAACTGATCCTGAGCTCTTTCTGCAGAGGATCCTATCATCAGAAAGTTCCTGGCATGGGACATGAACCTGAGGACCTCTGATAAGGTGAAGTTTTTTCATTTGGCTGTGCTGAGGCTATGCCATTGCATGGGAATGGCAGAGTTCCAAGACTGTTGCCCTATTTCATGTCTTACTGGAACTCCCACCAAAACTCCCATGCTCCAGTCTCCACTGGGTCTCAATAGTGCCTCCCTTACAGACCTTGCTGGTCCTAGCACACTGGAAGGGCTCACCTTCCTCTTCCTGAAACTTCTGGGATCTGAGCCAGGGCCATGATCTTCCCTCAACATAGCTTCTCTGGCTGGGCTGCCTGAAGCTCCTGGTGTCTCCCCTTAGGTCTGGGGAACTCATTGCACTAACTGAAGGACCCCATTTAGGTGCAAGTGCCCTCAATGACCTGTCTCCAAGAGACATCTGGAAGTGGCATCCCAGGCACCTGGGCAATCTGGGCTCCCCTTTCTCTTCTCTCCCATCTCCCATCATGTGGGATTTCACTTACAGACAACCTCCAATCCCTTTACATTCCCCCAATAGCAAGCCCAAGTGACACTTTGGTCTCCTCTCCAAGGGCAGCCCTGCTCTTCCCTCCCAGTCCCTGTCCACACACCCCTACTCTTCCAGGTGTGCCTGCTGTCTGACTCTCCTCCTCTCTCCCCATCAGTACCTGCTGGCCATGGTCATTGCGTATTTTAGCCGTGCTGGGCTCTTCCCATGGCAGTACCAGAGGATCCATTTCTTCCTGGCCCTGTGAGTACTGTGTCTCCCCTGAGTGTCCCGCAGGGTCACCTCACTGGCTAGGGTGGAGGTCTCTAACCTGTCTTCTAGTTTTAAACCTCTTTGAACTACTGACTCTGATCAAAATGGGCTTCACATTACACTGTTGCAATACAGGTCTTAGTAAAATTTCCAATCTGTCATTCTGTCAGTTAAAGAGCTGTTTACAGACAAAGCTGCCCTTTTTTCCTTCATTTGTTCAACAAAACCATCTATGGTGCATCCTTTGCCAGGGATTGTAGAGCAAAGAGAACATATATGTAAGACATGGAATTCATAGCTGCTGAGAGGCAAGCTATACACTTGCTATTCAGGAGGAGAAAAATGGACATAAAACATACTTTGGTCACCATTCTCCAGGTGATCACTATGTGTGGGCGCTGAAGTTGAGCTTTAGGGAAGGAAGATGGTGGTTTCAACATTCAGTGAAACAGGTTCATTCCACCTCAGGCTCGGCACAGGGGTTCCATCCTCAGCACCCAGGCCAGAAGAACCCTCAGAAGGGCTGTGTGCTGCAGAGGTCTCTCCACTGATACCTGACCGATAGCAATGTGGTGAAGGGCTGAAGAGACCCTGAGAGGAGGATGAGTGCCTATCCTGCTCCAGAGCTGACCCGGGTGTGATGCACCCACTGTGTGTCCCTAACCTGCAACCGCCTCTCTCTCCTAGCCACCTAGCCAACGACATGGAAGAAGAGGACAATGAACTGGCAAAACTGGACATGTTCTTCTTCATGTATGGATGGAACCTGGCCCAGATTCCCAAGTTCCACAAGCTTCGCTATGAGTTCATCTGCTGCATGGGCTGGGACCTCAGGGTGACCCGAGAGGAGTGTGAGGAGGTGGGTGGGCCCTTAGCACTGCTGGCAGGGCTGGGCTGGATTGGAGACAGATTGGACAGGAGATTCTGGGGATGGTGACAAGAAAGAAATGGAGGCTGGAGAAGGAGGTGGTGTTCCAGGAGATCTTCATCTTCTCACTTTCTGCTTTCCATTCTAGATCCAAGCTTATGACCCTGGGCTCTGGGTGTGGAGGCGAGATCGAACTCTAATTCAGGGAACTCTGGAGCCCTGAGGACATTCACCCAAAAAAGGTACATGTGTGTTCCCAGGATTCAGACAGCACCAATGCTGTCTATTTTAGGAATGCAAGCCTTCTGCTCATCATCCGCCCAAGCGGTTCAGTGTCTACACTTGGGGGATCAGCTCAGGCCCAGGTAAAATGTTCACCTTTCTCTCTCCACACTACAGCCACCACCTGGACAAGTAGACATGCTGAGAGATGTTTCACATGCTGAGACACTGGTCATTCAGACCTCACGTAAACACACTGTCCCTGAGCAGTGATTTGGTAGAAATGATACACGCAGAGAAAGGGTCCAAATCACAGTGTGGATGAAAAGTTGATTTTTATTCCAAAACAATATCTGCTATCCATAACTGTTTAATACCCTCCAGAAGAAGTATTTTATCCCTTGTAATTTTGGTAGGGCCTTCCATCCTTCAGGGACAACGAAGAGAGGGCTTTATTTCTAACAAGATGAAGATTGAGCCAGAAGCTATGCTATGGAACAGGTTGCATATGCAGAAGGGGAGTAATGTCGCTGACTGTGTGTACATCCCAGGTTGAGTGCAGACACCCTGCGTATGGATGAGTGCTCCTGGGAGTTTCTCCTATCCCCTGTCTTTCCCATTATAGATGAATTTCACCCCTCAAGTAATTACACACCTTTCAAATAAAGCTCATTGATGTTTGTTAGAATGATACAAAGTGATGTAAGAACTTTGTTGCTGTTTCTTACAATAGACACACTGCAGTATGTGTTTGAGCAGAGGAATAAGTAATGATTTGATTTAAGTTATGTGCAAAGAGCCAAATCCACAAATAATTTTTTTGTGAGACATAACACTTGGAATTACCATGACCATGTAGGCTCAGGGTCATGAAATGGAAATAGTACTGATGTTTCTTTTTTTTGTTTGTTTTTTTTCTCCGGTACCGGGAACCGAACTCATGACCTTGCGCTTGCCAGGCAGGTGCTTTTGCCGCTGAGCTAAATCCCCAGCCCCGATATTTCTATTATAGATAGAAGTGCAGATGTTAAATCAAGGAAAAGAATAAGGTGTAAGTTAGGAAGAAATGTGCCACTTTCTCCAAAGATGCTCTAATCCCTGAGAAGAATCACCTCAAATTCTGCCTGTGAATCAGAATGCTGGGTTTAAATTTAAAAACCTCTAGTGAGTTTTAGAATGTGGGTCAGTAAGTCTGGAAACCATAACAGGAAATGATCATTTCAGATCTGATTTAAGAAAGAAGTGCTAAAGATAAAACTGGATTTGTCAGTTGGTGGAAGTTCCAGTGGAACTGACTTATGAGTGCCCATCCTCTCTTCAAGAAAATTGACCCCATAAAGTCTGATAGTGTTTCACTCTTGCTTTCAGATCTCTAGGTCCTGTGAAGCAATGAAGTCAAATCACCACAGCAAACATCCTGAAGTTGGTAACCCCTGGTCCGGGGGTCAACTAGAATCCAGATTTTCTCAATCACATTCTAAATTCTACGTTCAAGTTGCTTCTGAGATAGAAGTTGTGCAACCCCTGTTTTTTATAGCCTTTGTAGGGGGCAATGAATCTTAGCATACTATTTTAGATGAAATAGTTTGGAAAAAGCCTGCATGATGCCTCGGGAAGCCTCAGAGCTAATTCCCCAG